TCTCGCTTTTTACATTATACATTACATCAATGACAATATAAATTTATTAAACTATATAATTTGATTAAAGACCAGTCTGAACCTGGACCTAAATTTTGGACCGAAGACTACTTAAACCAGTCCAAAAGACCGGTCCAGACCACGGTCTTTTGGGACCGTAACATCCCTACTCCTAGCATAACCACCACGATTAATTATGTAATCGCTGTTTAAAGTCTAATCTAAGATTTTACTTATACGTATATGAAAATTATCATTATATAAAAATTTTTATTATATTAAAAAAAAGTAGTTAACAAAAAACAATTATTGCCTAACTTTACATACTATATTATAAATTTTTATTACATTATAGTTTAAATAAACTTATACATGGGCTTTAAAAATCACAATAATATTAAAAATGCAAAAATATATATAATTTTTTATCTTTACAATACACAATTTAATTAAGTTTGCAACGTTAATACTATACATTCAATAAAAATGTTTGCTACGTATAACTGATAAGTTACTTATAACAAAAATTTATAAAATGAACTTTTACTCAAAACATCAAAATATACCCTCAATTTTAATATGAGGCACTCATATTTTATTGTGTAACATAATTTTTTATGGAAGATCTTTAAGAGAACTAAACTTATTTTGGCCTTCTATCAACCACGAATACATAAGTATCATACTAGAAACAGTTTTTTCACTAATAGCCACTCTGTCACTAGTGATCGTAAAACCAGCTCTTGAAAATGCTCTTTCACTAGAAACACTTAAAGGTTTAATGCTTAAATAATCGCATGCCATTTTACCAAGTGTTGGAAATCTTTTTGATAATGATTCCCAAAATATTATTACATTATTTTCTTTCTTTTTATTGTTGTTTGTAAATTCAAGAGACTCGTCTTTATATAACTCTAATTCAGGTTTAATTATGTTATTGTATTTTCTTTTTTTTGAAATTCTTTTCCTAGGAAATAAAAAATCAGAAGTAGACTTATCATTAATATTAATGATTTCAGAAACTTCAGGAACTTCAGAAACTTCAATATTTGGAGGTTCTGTATTTGTATATTTCATTCCATAAAAAATAATCTTTTTCTGAATGTTATTAACAAACAATTCCACTTCATTTTCATTATATCCACCAACTTCAATCAATGTTACTTTTAAATGCTCCAACTTATACCTTGGATCAAGTACGTGCGCAATTATGACTTGATCAATAATTACATTCCAGTATTTATCAAATTTTTTCTTTATATAGTAACCTATTCTAGTGCTAGCTTTTTTAATATGTTGACCAATTTCTAATATTACCATTACTGCATTAGAAATTGAACTAGATTGTTCTTTTGAAAGTATTACTGTAACATAGCACTTTCAAATAGGTTGAGGAGTTTACAGAAAGATACAAACTCTTCATTATCTAAACAAGAGGGCATGGAGGATTCTTTTAAACACATCTCATGAATAGCTAGATGTAGATGAATATATCTTTCAAACATAGCCAGTGTAGAGTTTCAACACGTATCTATTTCAAGAATAGGTTGTAAAGGCTTTATTCTAGAAATTTGACAGTATAACCTTAACATTTCTATTCTACCACTAGCTAAGGGATTAGATAAGTATTTTATAATTTTATGAACTTTATCTTTCAACGGGCTTATTTCCTTTAAACCTTCTTTGACTATAAGATTAAGAATGTGATACATGCATCCTAAAAAAAAAAAAAAAAATTAAAAAATTATTATTTTAATTAAAAATTAAATAAATATACTGTATAATAAAAACTCAAACCTATTAATATTAATTCTGGATTTAGTGACTCATTCTTGAGCAACTAACTTATGGCTTTATTCATAGTAGTATTATCCATAGTAAGTGCAAATATTTTTTCTTTAATAGAATATGATTCTAAAGTGGTTATTATTGTTGACAAAATATCCTCTGCCGTTTGCCCAGATTTTTAGAAATTTAAGATTATATTAATTACTCTCTAATCATCACTAATTCATGTTCCCATAACAACAATATAGTGACACCTATGAATGGTTGAATACCACTCATCACATGTTAGTAAAATTCATCCAGGAAACTTTGCTAATATATTCTTAATAAAGTCAAATCTTAAATTGAATATATTTTCCATAAGGTGTTGTGGTATTGTTGTTGAGTGTGGAATTTTATATGAATATTTAACATAATGAAGATTTCTAGCCACTTGATGAAACAATGGATTATCAAGAATATTAAAGGACATTCCTGTACTAACAACCAAGTCAACTATTGACTTATCCATTTCATTTTTTGTAATCTTAGGAAATGCTTTGATTTGAGTCTTGGATAGTGGAGATTTAGGACATCGCAAAGTAACATGTTCTTTTAAGTGCGTTTTGCTGGTTTTTATTGAATACTGTTTTTTACAATGGCGGCATTGCCAAGCTCTTTGATTTTCATTTAGCTTTACAGCTTCCCAATGGTCGTCAGTAGAATATGTATCACAGACTATTTCTGTTCCAGGTTTACTTGGTGTTGAAATACTGGAATAAGTATCATTAGGAGATAAGGCTGAATCTTCCATTATCAAAAAAGAAGCAATTCAAAGTAAGAAGAATGCAAAATAAGAAATAGATAGAAGGCATTATAAGACAAGATAAAGCAATTCAATACAAGGAAGTAAAAAAGCAATATAAGATGAAATATAAGTGCTATTTATACTTTTTATTTACTCTATAAAATAATCGATTATTTAATTTAGTTCGACTACACAATTAATTATTTAGTAGAGGTGCAGGTGAATTGCCATAACTTGTCATAACATAATGAAGTTATAGCAAAAATGTCATAATAATTACATATTGCAAAGATAGTTATGACAAGTTACAGCATCATTGGGACGGTTTGCCTGCATCACTAACTGTGAGTATCTATTTATTTGACTCGATCGCTTATTTAAATTGTGATCTTATTTATTTATTTGATTTATCTATTTTATTTATCTACTCAGTTACTTTGATTATTGGATTTATTTGACTCGATCACTATTTGAAATATGATTATTGGATTTATTTGACTCAATCACTATTTGAACTGTATGTATTAGGGTGTTTCAAACCTAAAGCTCAGATTTATAATTTCGAATTAAATTAGTGATGTACTAATTTTGTAATCAGCGATCTATAAATCCTTATTTTTCATTTTCTCATTTCAAAATTTCAAGACAAAAATAAGACTTTCAAACTCCCACTTATTTTCAAAATAAGTTAACTCTAAAATCTATTTGATTTATTTGACTCAATCACTTATTTAAATTGTGAATTTTATTTAGGATTTAATCTTTTTTCGCATATGCAATATAACGCTATATAAATTCAATTACAAGTCAACTCTTCCTGACGATCATTTATACCAAAATTTCAACTAACAAAAAACACAACTTTTGTTGGAGAGACGTGGCCTTATAGTGCAGTTTGTCTAGAGGTTAACTGCTTTTCTAAGGGACTCCTCTAAAAGGACGTTCGGCATGCAAGCCAAGAGTGTTATTATACAATATAACTGGCAGGCGGTGCACTTGTATGAAAAATCTTGGTGGAGTGGGAAAACCCAACTTTGTTGACGAAGCTCTAAGGCTGTTACTTCAAAGAAGAACACAGGGGAAACAACAAAAGTTCTGGATTTCAACACACTCTCTAGAAATTTTGAAAGTACTCGCAACCGAAAACCTCCTACCATATTCTCGCTACTTTGGAATTTTTTTAGAAATTTC